TGTTCGGTACTAATTGATTATGATGATTTGTTCTTTGTTGAAGAACATATGCATGTAATTGTGTATTTCGATCTATATTTGTACAAGTTGATTTATAATATCAAGATTTAAATTGTGATTTTTGTTGTTGGTGTCGGTACATATAACTTTGGAGGAAAAAAAATGTACATGATTATATATAACTATACGTGACTATTGAACATGTACTATACTATAGTCATTTGTAGTCAATTTATGTACAGGAAATTTATTAAAAAGAAATTTTAAAAATAAAAAAAAAAAATTAACAAAACAAAAAAATTAAAAAAATGAAAAATTAAAAAAATTAAAAAAATTAAAAATTTTAAAAAATTAAAAAAATTAAAAAATTAAAAAATAATAAATAAAATAATAATTAAAAGTAATTTTAAAAAAATAATAAAAAAATAAAAATTTATAATATTTTATTGAAAAATCTGAAAAACGATAAATGCAGGTCCAAAAATGCTGAATGCAGTTTCCTATTGTGCTGAATGCAGTTGGAGGAATGCTGAATGCAGTTTCCTATTGGGCTGAATGCAGTTGGAGAAATGCTGAATGCAGTTGGGTGAAAATTACAAATAAGGGCACAATAGTACTTTTGCCTATCTAGGGGGTTATCTCAAAGAAAGAATTTTAGGGGTGGACTTATAGGGTCATAAGCAGCCATGGCCCATGATAAAAATTATTTGACTATTTGTCTAATATTAAATTTCAATGTATTACATCATGATCAAACTAAATAAGGGTCAAAATATAATTCTTTGTGCCAGGTGGAGAAGTGCTCGTATTAGTCTCAAAAGTGAAACATAATAGTCTTCAAAATCTTAGATTAAGATATTTAATATGGAATTAATTTGACTAATTACTATTAATTAATGTGAAAAGGGCATGCAAGTAAAAAGAAACTTCCAAGCAGCCTTCAGCAAGGTGTGAAAATGCAAAACCCCAAGAAAATTGGTAGAAGAATTACAACTTTAGGATGAGAAAAGAAACGTCTACACCCGGTGCAATACAACGTGTAATCCTGTACCGTTGATGTACACATAATAACACACTCATGTGTGTGTGCTCAGTGGGTATTTATTTGCATAGATCTATGGTGTAAAAAAATTCACCAGGTATAGCATCTCACAGACCTTAATATTGTAAATCGGTCTATTTAGGGTTAAAATTGTGATATTTTAAAATTATGGAAAATAAGTATAATTTATTCCAAACGAGATTTTATTTTATTTTAGTTTATACGTAAAAATTAGAGAATCAAAATTCCATTCTAACATTAGCAAAATATGGGCCTCGGCCCAAAATGGGAAATAAATAACCAATGCTACAAAGGCCCCATTAAGTATATCTATTGTAGCCTAATAATTTACCCTCGAAAGAAATATTAAAGGTAGTTTATATATGATTTACAAAACTAAAACTAATTCATTTGAATTGTGTCGCTTCTCTCTCTTCTCTTTTCCCTCTTTTTTCTATGTAGTACCCCGGTCATCAGCCATGTCTTTTTCCGGCAACTCATTATCGAGTCTTCAACTTATATTGTTGACTTTGACTACGAGACAACTTTTCCGATTTGGAGTCACATTTCTGGACTGTACACTGAACAAAAGGGGGAACTAAGCCATTTTGGATAATGATATTAGTTCCGTGTGTTGGAACTACAACTGTTCGTATTTCTCTTTCCCTCTTTTATTTCTGAATTCTGTTTATGTATCATTCCGAATGAGTACCGAAGAAAACCGAACCCAAATCTTCAACCGAACATTCTTGAATCGAGTATCTGGCCGTTTGATTTGATTTTCAGCCCACGTGTCACTCACTGAATGGATATGATATCAATTAGTGGGGTAATTAGAACAATTATGGCAGGCCAACAACTTGCAGTAAATGACAGAAATAGTATGTATGAATAAATGTGGAGATTTCTGTTGGTAGAGGAGCCACTGTCAATAATGGCTTCTCTTGATTCCATTTACTAAGAAACCAACACACACACACATTATTTCATTTGCTTTAATCAGATCACTTTTTGTAATAAAAACAACACTAAGTATAAATTAACCATACCCCAGGTGCCATCACAATGCAAATATAGCAGGGATTTCACTGTTTTCCATTGACTTTTTGCCTCCTGGTTTATCAACTTTATATACATACATATATAATGTGTGTATATATATAGCTCTTTCATAATGGCCTGATAATTTTCCTCCAAATCCATCATTATGTGTTCATTAATTTGATTAATCTATGGGCACCCCACTTAATCTTGCCTCATTTGGTGGACACCCCATCCACAAATTTCATCACACACACACACACACACACACACACACACACATATGTGTGTGTGTGTGTGTGTGTATAAATACATGCAGTGCAACTATAAATACATGCATTCTCACTTAATTCCAAACAACTGATCATTCTTCACACCACAAACTCGTTCGTAAGTCATCAATAATCTCGATGTATATACATATTATATTGAAACGCTTCGTTTTTTTGTTTTTTTTTTCGTGATTATATTTGAATTTGTGAATGACAGGTGTGTATATATATTGATACAGACATGCAAAGGATGGGTAGGACGCGTGTTTTTGCGATTGTTTTCGTTTTGCTGATGATGGGATCTTGCATGGCAAAAGCGAGGAGAATAGTTGCAGACGAAACGCAGCATAAGGGATTAAAGGCCGAAGGTACTAAAAATGGCGACGGTAATAACGGAGTTGTTGTTAACGACGACGACGATGAAGATGATGGTAATAATTTGAACGGGGAGAATCACCATGCTTACTCCATACCGGATTTCAACAGACAAGGTGGCACTAGTCCTGGCAGAGATTAATTACATAGTATTATCATATTTTCTGTTTCTCTCTCTCTCTCTCTCTCTCTCTCTCTCTCTCTCTCTCTCTCTATATATATATATATATATATATATATAAGTAATAATGTAGAATAAGATGCTTTTAATTAGATATTAGAGATCCTTCTGTTTGTAGTAAGAGTACTCTACTCTACTGATGTAATAATATGCTTCATGCATGATAATAATGGTATAATCGTAACTAAAGCATCTGCAACTAATATTATAAAAGAAAATTGCCTAAAACTATTATAAAACATAAAACACAGTCATGCGAATGCTGAAATTCAAAACCAAACACCAAAAATTCCGAATATATATATAAGCCGCAAGAAACCATATTTCGACACTTCGTTTTCAAAATATATATCACCGTACCACTACATGCACATTTTCTCCATCGGTATTCCAACTAAAAATTGCATCTTTTTCTTGAAATTTTCGATTTTCGACTTTTTTTTTTCCCTTTTTCTCAGGCTTTTCTATTTCTACCTTAAAATCCCACAAAGCACCCAATATTATTGCAGCTAATTAAAGAGACTACATTACATTAACACTATATATAGATATAATCAGCCAACATAGTCTCGAATAATCTGACCTCCAAAACGTGACCGTTGACCACTCTCGGCACTTTGTCTCAATCCCAACGTAAGTGAAACCGAACCAAGCCCGCCCATCTCGGGCCCACTTCGATGAGAAGGCATCATCAAGGAATATTCCATCATCGATCCATCGGTGGGGCCCGACGGAACATGATACTCTACACGAGAACGCTTTTCTTGATTCCACACATTTCCGTTCGATCCAACGGCATCTTCTTGCTCGGCCAAGGAATATTCCATTTGTTTGTCGATAATCGAACTCATTTTTAGCCTATTCAATGGTTGGCTGCTGCTTTCGTTTGATTGGTCGAAACCTTCGTTATGATTTGTGGTTTTTGGAGCATTTAATAGTACTCCTGATCCTGTTTCGGACACTCCTTTGGTTTCTAGCATGTGTATTTCCTCAACCATAGGTTTCCATACACGAACTCGAGCATTGATAAACCAGTTAGACACCTGATTCAGGGGTAGAAAAGTCAATATAATAATTAGGAGAGTCTGAAAAAAAAAAATCGAGCTTGAATATAAAATTTGTACCTGGTTTCTTGTTAAGCCTGGTTTGTGTGGCCAGCATATGCTTGTCGGTGTCTGTGGGATACCTTCACACAAATTTAAATTCAATTCAATCAAGATTCGTGTGAGAAACCAACAGC